CATCGGGTGGGTGGCTCTGTGCCGTGCCAGGTGCAGGGTCTGCTAGCTGGGTGCTGGCAGGCTTGCACCTGGCACGGGCACCGTAGCCAGCCCGTGCCCCTTTAAGGGGTCCGGGGCCGGGAGGGGGGCATAGAGTTTCCCTGGTGTTGGCCAGAGTGGCCACCAGGGAAACCTGGGAAGCCTTAGCCTCCCACTAGTTCGAACTAAAGGGCTACACAGCCCTTAGTTCGAACTAGCTAGTTCGAACTAGGCGTTAGTCCTCGTAAAATGAGGTTTACCTAGTTCGAACTAAGCGCTCCGTTAGTTCGAATTAAGTTCGAACTAACGGAGCGCTAGTGTAGCGCATAGGAAAGTTAGTTCGAACTAACGTCCGTTAGTTCGAACTAACTTTCTAGTGTAGACATACCCACAGTGAGCTGCTGGGCCTTGCTGTCCAATTAGAGCATTTTCATTTCAGGATAAAAAGCCTCAGCACTTTAGAGCGACTTTGATCTCTGCCCGCTGGATCATTTTCTCTCCAGTCTGAGTAATTTCCTGTTGGGGGCCCTGTGATTCTGTGGGGTTCGAGGCTGAACCAAGCAGGCAGCTTTTGCGTTTCCTTCAATACTCTGCTTCATTTGGGCAAAAATAAATAAATATTGGCATCCTGGTTCTTCTGCGTGCTAGCCGGCTGTTGTGGTCTTTCTCATTAGCAGATCCTACCAGGTGCTGTTTTCCAGGGGACTCATGAATATGCTTCTAGACAAGGGAAAACCCGCCAGTGAAATACAGATCCATTCAGTCACTGTTAGCCAGCAATGAATGTTAAGTGTGTGCGTGTCAGGTCTGAGCAGTCGGTCAGCAATTGCAGGGATGTGTTTTATTATTCACATTCTATCCTGTTCTAGTGAGTCACTCTTGCTTCCCTGTTGCTACAGTCACAACTATCTAGAAAATCAGTCAGTGGGAGCATAAGTAGGCGAAAGCCTCAGTCATATAGCCATAGTCACTTGTTTGGCTTTATGCACATAGGTAGCCCCCAAAAAGCCAGTGGAGTTATTCAAGCTTTAGTTACATGCTGAACTTTAGTCCATTCAAGTTCAAGGACTGAATGTGTACCCGGTAATAAACACAGTATGCTTTTGCGTTACTGTCTGTATGTATCCTGATGTTTTATCCTTTCTACAAGATTGTGATAAATTCTGTACAAAGTAGGCTTTGAGAGGTATTGTCAGAAAACTCACAATCTGCTGAACATTATTGTCTTGGTAAAACATGTACAGTAACATAGTGTGTAGATTTATAAAATGTTACTGTCGAAGATCAATTCCATGTCTAGGGAAACCACTCCAAAGCCAGTTCCCAAGAGATAAGGCTAGGCATAACTTTGGCCAGGTATCAGAACAATCAGATGAACTATCACCTAGTAAATTTACTTGTTGGCAAAGAAACAACTGGATGGACCTATCCCATAGGCTTGCTGTTGCCTGAACCCCATCTGGAGGTGATTCTTGAAGAGAAATGCTATAAGAATTATCTTTATCCCCTCATCTCTACTCACAACATAAACAACCCTTGAAAGACAAAGGGAGCATCATTGAACTGGGGGAAATATCTTGGCTGAAAGAAGTCTAGCCAGACTGTTGTGAGCATGTGGTGAAAGAACCCTTTTTGCTTTGAGGTCACTTAACTTGTTGTTAGGTACTAGTTTGCATTTTACCTTTTTATTTCTGTGAAGCCAGTTCTAATGTGTATGTCTCAATCGTTGTAATCATTGGAAGTTTAATTTATTTCTGTGAAGCCAGTTCTAATGTGTATGACTCAATCCTTGTAACCATTGGAAGTTTAGCTTTCTGTAGTTAAACTTGTTTTATATTTTTTATCTAAACCGGTGTGTGTTTGAAGTGAGGTGTTGGGGAAACTGCCTTTGTGATAACCAGGTCTGTGCCTGTCATTTTCTGTCAATGTAATGACGGACTTTCCATGAGCTTATGTGGTCTAGCAGGAAAGCACTGGGCACTTCTGGGGAGCAGTCTGGGACTGGGAATTGGTTGGTGTCACGCTGCAGTGTAAGGAGATGCACACATGGCAGCTGGTTTTGTGGGAAGCTGATGGTCCTCAGGTTTTCCTCTCGTTTGCCCTACGGTGACATTCGCCAGGCTCTGCGAGGAATGTCTACACTGCATTCCTCTTTCGAGAGAGGAGTGCAAATGCAGCCGAGTGAAATTGCAAATGAAGCACGGATTTGAATTTCTCGCGCTTCATTTGCATAATCGCGGCCGGCCGCTTTTTCAAAATACCCTATTTCGAGATAGAAAACGCTGTATAGGCACAGTTATTTTGAGAAAAAACCCTTCTTTTGAAATAACTCTTAAACCTCATTTTATAAGGAGTAAGGGTTATTTCGAAAGAAGGGTTTTTTTCCTCGAAATAACCGCGTCTACACAGCAGTTTTTAAATGCAAAGAATGCAGGTGTGTTGTAAGCAAAACTCGGGAAGTCATTCTGCCGCTCTACTCTGCACTAGTTAGGCCTCAGCTGGAGTACTGTGTCCAGTTCTGGGCGCCACATTTCAAGAAAGATGTGGAGAAATTGGAAAGGGTACAGAGAAGAGCGACAAGAATGATTAAAGGTTTAGAGAACATGACCTATGAAGCCAGGCTTCATGAACTGGGCTTGTTTAGTTTGGAAAAAAGAAGATTAAGGGGGGACATGATAGCGGTTTTCAAATATCTAAAAGGGTGTCACAAGGAGGAAGGAGAAAATTTGTTCCTCTTGGTTTCTGAGGACAGGACAAGGAGTAATGGGCTTAAAGTGCAGCAGGGGAGGTTTAGATTGGACATTAGGAAAAAATTCCTAACCGTCAGGGTGGTCAAATATTGGAATAAATTGCCAAGGGAGGTGGTGGAATTTCCCTCTCTGGAGATATTTAAGAACAGGTTAGATAGACATCTGTCAGGGATGGTGTAGACGGAGCTTGGTCCTGCCTTGAGGGCGGGGGGCTGGACTCGATGACCTCTTGAGGTCCCTTCCAGTCCTATTATTCTATGATTCTATGATCTTTCTTCTCCTTCGTTCCCATTAATGCTCCTCGAGTGTTTACACTTAGTGCTTCCTCAGTTAGCCAAGTTAAGTGTGAGCCTGCAGCCTTTCCTTACCAGCACGTCCTAACAGCCTGTTCATCATGTTTGTGGCTCTTCTCTGAATAACTTTTTTGAGGGCTTCCTGGGGTCTGAAGGCAAAACTCAGGCTATGTCTGTACTTACGCGGTGGAGATTGATCTTCTGGCGTTCGATTTAGTAGGTCTAGTAAAGACCTGCTAAATTGAACGCTGAGGGCGCCTCTAGGTGGCGCTGGTACTCCTTGCAGTCATGAGGAGTAAGGGAAGCCGACAGGAGCATTTGCTCCTGTCAGCCTCCCATGTGAAGATGGCACCAAGCTTGGCTTAAGCTCTGTCGACTCCAGCTACCTTACGTACGTTAGTTGCACAGCTCACGCCGACCTTCCAGGTCTAGTATAGACCTGGCCTAAGTAGGTGACGTCTCAGGATGCCTCTGTGTCTAGTCCCGGGTTACATGGGCTTCCCTTGCCGCAGTGTCTTATCGGAAGCTCATTTGTAGTTTGTTGTTCTTAGACTGAAGATCTTTTCAGCACTGCTGCTTTGTCAGTTCCTCGGCTTCTTTCACTGTCTCTGGCTTCCTCAGTCCTGTCCGATTCTGTATTTCCTAGGTAGAAGCTCATATTTCTCAGGCCTTATTGGTCTTTGTCATCCCTCCAATTTAGTAACATGCCATTCATCTGTTTCTGCCAGATGACGAGTGCAGATGTGCAGTAAAACCAGGCCTGCCCTGGGCCCGGGGGGAACTCCTGCTGACACCTCTGCACACCTTGAAAGCCGCCGGTGAAAGGCTGGTTTTACTCACAACTGCGTCGAGGTTTTCACCCAAGTTCTGCTCCCTGCAGACCCCCTGGAAAGGGCCAGATTGTCATGGGAGCGCAGCAGCCGGGGAGCGGAGACCTTCTGAAACACTGGCCTGGGTGGTGGGTGGTCAGCATGAGAAAATACGGCTCTGGGCTTCTTTGAAAACGGGGCCCTCCCTGATGTGCTCTCCTTCAGTCAGCTGCGTTCAGACCAGTGGCCAGGGGTTGGTGGAGGATGGTTTTACAAGATGCCTCTCCAGCTTCCTTCATTACCCAGAGAGGTGGCGCTAGCCTGTTTCTGCAGGGAGCCTGGCCCGGGTGTGAGCGCAGCCGCTGCCTGCTAGGGCTGAGCTGGAGGAGCCGCCGGCGGACACGCCACGCCGCGCTCACTGCCGGGTGCTTTTGTGTTTCAGGTGGAGAAGAGAAGCCGCGTCTGTCCAAGAGAGAGAGACTGAAGCTGCGGAAAGACAGGTGGCTGCAGAGTGAGTGTTGCTGGAGACGGTGATGCGTCCGGGGCGGCTGCCTCGCCAGAGGCCAGTTCTTGCCCTGTCTTGCGCTTCGTCCTCTTCAGCGTCCATGTGCGGCGCCGTGGCCGGGCCCAGGAGCCTGAGAACGGTCCCTGGGGCCGGACAGGGACGCTCGCCAAGGGAGAGGCAGCAGACCCTGGGAGGTGCTGTGTGGCCTGGGGAAAGCCCGACGGCCGGAGCCTGGAGTTCCATCAGGAGCCCAGGTGGGGAGCCCCCTCCAGCCTCGTAAGCGGGTCCCGGCTGGCTGGAGGGACTTGCCAGCCAGGCCCTCCCCAGCCTGGAGAGCAGTGACTCTGAGAAGCCGTGTTAGGGTCCTGCCTGGTGCATGTGGGACTCCAAGAGGCTGAGTTTTGCCCTGGGACTGTCTAGGGAGGAGCACGGCAGAAGGGGACCTGGGGTCATAGCGTACCGCGAGCTGAGCAGGAGTCAGCATCACGCTGGCCTTGCTTAACAGGTGTGTTGTAAGCAGGACACCAGAAGGGCCTCTTGCCTCGTACTCGGCACTGGTCATCTCCTGCCTCAAGCATGTTGTGAGGCTCCGCCCAGCGTCTCACAGGAACTTTTCAGCTCCTCCCTGGCTGCGTCTCTCCTTTCTGTGTCCCAGAGACGGCAGTTCCTCAGCTCCATCCCACTGCCTGCAGGTCCCTCTTTGCATGAGTCACTTGCTTAGCTGTGTGAAGGCACAGCCACCTCTCCTGAGCACAGCCAGGGCCCTGAAGCTCAGAGACACTGGCTCTTCTAGCCCCGGCACTAACTGGGGCTTGGTTCAGGGTCGCAGGTAAGCACTTGCTTAACTTGGAGTGTCTGCTTCCGTCCCATTGACTTACAATGTGATTGACCAAGTACCTGTGTCAGTGCTTTCCTGAATCCCTGTCGAAGGGCAGAGCTGCGTTCAGTGACAGCGTAAATAAGCATTGGATCTGTTGATGAGTCTCTAATCACGGCCCCATGGAAAATGCAAGAAAACAAGCCCCCCCCCCCCCCTTGCATGTTTTGGTTGGTAATAGCTCAGCAGTCACTTCCACACAAGGGCAGTATAGGCAACGTGCAGTAAATGGCTCTTGGTTTCACTTGAGTAGTTAATTCAAGTCGTATAATAATCTCCAACCCGGTTTATTATATTTTCCCT